TCTCTCTCTCTCTCTCTCTGCCCCTCCCCTACTCACACTCTCTTCTCCAAATGAATAAATAAAGTTAAAGAAAAAAAGAAGTTTCCAAGGGTGCCCAATGGGCTCTGTCGGTGGAACGTGCAACTCTTGATCTCATGGTTGTGAGTTCAAGCCCCACCTTATGGGTTGAGTTTACTTAAAAAAAGAAAAAGAAGATGGGGTGCCTGGGTGGCTCAGTTGGTTAACCATCTAACTTCAGCTCAGGTCATGATGTTATGGTTCGTGGGTTCGAGCCCCGTGTTGGGCTGAGCTGACAGCTCAGAGCCTGGACCCTGTTTCGGATTCTGTGTCTTCCTCTCTCTCTGCCCCTCCCCCGCTCATGCTCTCTCACCTTCAAAAACAAACAGACATTAAAAATTTTTTTTTTTAAAGAAAGAAAAAGAAGTATTCGAAAATAAAATAAAAACCAGTGCTTTGAACTTAACCACTATGTGTCCGGAGACTAAGTTTCAAATTCTTGTTAAAATACTTACTGCCAAAAAACTGGAGCCATGAGGAGAATCTACGATAAAAGAGATTTCAGATATTAGTTCAGTAAGCGATCAGAGACCACGTACTGAGCACCTCCTTCTAAGCCCCACCCCCTGGGGCAGGAAGGGGAATTAGGGCTTCAACAGGACGTTTAAGGGCACTCTGGGTCCTCAGCTTCCGTGGGGCACGCTCAGCCAGGGCCCGGGTCGGGGGTGGACACTCAGAGACGAACTTGCCTGGGCCCTTGGATCTTCCTGCCCAAAGTTCCTGTAAGATCTTTGCCTTGTCCATCACGTCGTAAACTTCCTCGGCGAGCTCCCGCACCTCTTCCAGGAAGGCCAGGTCGTTGACCTTCCCGGGCCGGCCAGCTGCAGCCCAGAACCTGGACGAACTTGAAATAAGTGGAATGAGTACCATGGACATCATTCTGCACGGGGCCCCCTTCCCTCGGGGTTCGCGGGCTCGACACCGAGTGCCCACGCGGCGTCCACCAAGCTGGCACGCATGTACCCTTCCACCCACCTGCCCTGCAGGACCCTCTCTCCTTGACCTTCCAAATGAAAACTAGAACGTTGTCATCAATCTCTCCGTTATCTGTGACGCTCAGCCACTGTATACGGTTACTGGTGGTCCCACGTGTTTCCCTCGCTTAGCACGCCCGGTGAGAGGGGCTGGGGGCCGTGTCTCCATGACCGGCCCAGGCCCCAAGTGCGGAGGACACGGGAGGGAGGTGAGCAGGCGTGCCCCCCCGTAGTGCTTTAGCCAGCCGGGCGAGCCGCCAGGGAAGGGGTGGAAAGTCTGTCCAGAGGGCACTGAGGCAGGCCCGGGGGGAGGCCAAGCCCCCTCTCCCATTCTCTCAGGCTGACATCTGAAAGACGAAATGGCCCAGTGATGGGAAGACTGGGGTCCAGGGGCGTATCGGCCGGAGACAGCACGTGCAAAGGCCCAGAGATGGGAAGGGGCTGAGGGGTCAGCCAGGGAGACAGAGACAGACAGAGAGGAGAGGGGGAGAGACAAGGGAACGAGAGAGGGAAGCCTATGGTGTGGACACTTGCGGCCACATGACGGTCACGGGCAGAACCCTGCGTGGGCACCAGGGGGAGCTGGGGCAAGGCTTCACCAGGGACAATGGGGTCTCATTTCAATTCTAGAAGAGACCTCTGGTTGTGGGGGGAGGTAGGGTCCACCAGGACAAGGTGGAAGGGACAGGCAGGCTTCGAAAGAGGGAGGTGGGGGCACCTGGAGGGCTCAGTCGGTTGAGCATCTGACTTCAGCTCAAGTCATATCTCACAGTTCGTGGGATCGAGCTCCACGTCGGGCTCAGAGCCTGGAGCTGCTTCAGATTCTGTGTCTCCCTGTCTCTCTGCCCCTCCCCTGCTTGTGTGCACACTCTCTCTCTCTCAAAAAATCAATAAACGTTAAAAAAAGAAGAAGAAGAAATCAGGGGTATCTGGGTGGCTGGGTCAGTTAAGCGTCCGACTTTGGCTCAGGTCACGATCTCACGGTTCATGAGTTTGAGCCCCGAGTCGGGCTCTGTGCCGACAGCTCAGAGCCTGGAGCCTGCTTCGGATTCTGTGTCTCCCTCTCTCTCTACCCCTCCCTTGCTCATACTCAGTCTCGCTGTCTTTCAAAAATAATAAATAAACATTAAAAAAAGGAAAACAAAGAAAGAGGGAGATGGACAGACTCACACACATCCCTGTGAGCCTTTAAAGAACTCGGTGTGAGGTGTGCTGCCACACCCACTTTATTTTCTGTATTTCCAAGGCTTTGACACCAGGCTGCTGACTGCTGACCCCGGAGGGACAGCCCCTCCCAGGGCGACCCCCCCACCATTCCCTAGAGACACCGAGGGCTGGCCACATTTCCATGTCTGCACATCTTACACGTCTGAAAGAACAAATCTCGGGCACCATGAAGAAGGGGCTTTGGGGAGAGGCAGGGTGCGGGATGTCCAGGGTAGAAAGGGGGGCCTCCGCCCCAGGTGGAAAGGGGGGCCTCCGCCCCTGGAGAGCAGGACAGCTCTACAAGGCGGGGCAGGGAGGTGTTGCTGAGGCCCACGTTCACAATGCCCTGTGGACACCAGGAGAGAAGTCAGAGACCCCTTTCCAAGGGGGCCAGCGGTGGGCCAGATATTCAGGCTGCTGTCCATTTCCCATCGGGATGTCCACTGTCCACTTAGGCTTTAAACATAGTATCCCCTTGTCACATTTGTGAGAAACATTTTCTTGGGTTTGTTTGTTTGTTTTTTTAAGTAGGCTTCACGCCCAGCGTGGAGCCCAATGTGGGGCCTGAACTCACGACCTTGAGATCAAGACCCAAGCTGAGATCAAGAGTCAGACACTCAATCAACCCAGGCTCCCCTCTTTGGGTTTTTATTTGCCTTTGATTTCATTTGACTTCATTTCATTTCATTTTCAATGTTTATTATTTTATTTTCTTATATTTTTAA